TTCTCTCCCACCATCATGTGCTATTTGGTGCAATAGTGTTAACCCTAGCTCAACTTTCGTTAGCCTCACTCTTGGCAAGGGATGAAGTGTTTGGATGCCGTCATCACACATACTATTTTGGAGGAGAGATAGTTGAATATTTGCTGATGTGTAAATACTAAAGGTGCAAATGCTATTTCAGAGAATATCCAAACTTCTATAAAAAGCTCTACAGCTTGCTGAACCCATGTGTGTTCCACGTGAAGTACAGAGCAAGATTCTTCCATCTAGCGGGTCTGTTTTTATCTTCCAGGTTAGTATTTCTTCATTTTATTTCCATCATTAACTGTAACAGCAGGTCTGATATTCATAAAGTACAATATTCCAAATACACAAGTGGATAACGCTTGCTTTACAGAAAAGTACAATCATATGATAAAGTTTACCAACTAAGCAACAGTATTTCTTTTGCAATACTAATTTCTGATACATCGCATCCTGCAATAATTTACTCACATACGTAGCGTTAGACTCGCCATTCAGTGGTGCAATGCTTACAAATACTGTAACAATAAGATCCATTGATAATCTCTAGGATGCACTGACCTGTGGCTAAGCACCTTGGAGGCAGAGTTGGGTTCATAGAGTCTCTTTGCTGGCTTAAGACGCTGTGGCTGAGTAAGCCTAGTACACGGCATTGCACTTGAACCTGAAGAACATCAAGGTAGCTATTCTGCAAAGGTCTTCCCACCAAGCTTAAGGCAGGTGTCTGCCAGATAGCTGATGAGGAAACTCTTGAAGCTTGGAGGGATAGCTGATGGTACCATATGTTCGTACATCCAGTGCCTGGAATTGACCTTGATTGATCTGCATCTCCAACTGGTGGAACCATCGATGACTCACACATTAGACAGGCAGATAGATGGTTGAAGAAATCATTTGAAAAATTTGGATGGATAGTTTGATTACTGACGCCTGACTGAAACTCTGTGTGTTATTGTCTTCTATCAGACTGATCCGAGCACTGACTATATCTGAGTTCAGTCACGTCCTCTCTGAGTTCAGTCACGTCCTCTCTGAGTTCAGTCACGTACTCCACGACTTCAGACACCTATGCCCCAGGTTGCAGGATGACATTGTCTTGCCTGTAATGAGGAAGGTGAAGGATAAAGGACGGTTAGTTTTAAAGGTCAAACCCTGCAGACATAGACAAACCTAATTGTGAAGGGAGCCTTCAATAGCTTTTCTGCTTTCAGGAAGGTTTTGCAGAAGACCTTGGTATTTCCTTTGAGCCAGTTTACAACAATAAATATCACTATGCTGATCATTTATGCATTTGGTTGGTGAAAATTGGTAAAAATTGGTAAATGTCAATATTCATTTGTGACGTTCCATAAACCAAACCAGTTTTCATCCACAAAATTTGATTTTTACCCATTTTTGTCATTGTATAGTTACGAAACTGCTCAAATTCTGGTTCAAGTCACTTGGACACAGTGTGTATGAAGTGGCAACTTGGAATTAAGCCATTTTGTAGTTGAAAACTATTTAAGAAGATGCTCTTTGCTACTTTGCTCTTTCCAACGCTTCCATTGTGCAGCCCATGTTAACCCACCTCTGGCTCTCGGAGGTAACTGTTGCAACTTTGGAAAAAAAAACAGAGCTCCCAAAAAAAGGCTGCTTCCTTCATTCACCTCCAAGCCAATATGATGCAGTTTAGCCACAAATAGTGCAGATCATTGCTTGCAAAAAGGTCTTTCTAAATCTGTCGATGCTGAGAACTGTAGAAATATCTACATCCCAAACCAGATCAAGCAAATCAAATTCTCCTGGGTTTGCTGGCGTTCAAGCTTGTTTATGCAGCACATCATTTAACTTGGTTCAATGCTTTAAAACCGATTAATATCTGAAAACGTCAAGGCTGCTTTTATCTGAAGGTGTAATTTGCCCTGTAGTGGCCCGTTCAACCACAATAACGTTTCTTGGTAACCGCTGTCTTGTATGTAGGAGGATCTCGTCTCTTCAGACGTGGTTAGTGTAAGAGGAGGCGGCTTTTGGTAAGATTTGTGGAAATGCAGGCAGCGGAGTTTAAAAGGAGAGCAGGCTTTTTTTAGTTCCTACGAAGATGAATGAAAAAAGCAGCTTAATCTGCAGTTTTGTAGCCTATTTAAGGATTTCTTTTTTAAGGTTACCAGATTAATTGTTCTATTTCTTTTCTGTACAGCCATTTACCAGTGTACTTGGTAGCAGCTTTTGCCAAGAGACTGTCTCGCCTGGCTCTGACTGCACCCCCTCACACTCTATTGATGATCATTTCATTTATCTGTAACCTTATTCGCCAGCATCCTGCCTGCAGGGTTCTCATTAATCGACCCGATGGACCTACAGGTATTGTACATTTTTTTCTTACAATTAACAACTTGGTTAGTACAAATTAGTGTGTTTACCATTTAACTTTCCTTCCCCTTTCCCTATCTTCCCGGAACTACGAGGACAGATGAGGAACCCTCCTCAGGCCTATGTCAATATTACTGATGGTGCAGTGTTAGTAATATTTGCGAAACCTCCCCCCTCTGATTGTATCGTGTGCTTTATGGTGACCATGTTGCTACTACTCAATAACCCGCTGAGCACAGCACGTAGGTAGAAACTGTTGATCCAAATTAAGATGTGAATGTCACTTTAAACTTTATTCTGCATTAAAATTGTAAGTATTTTTTGTTTTCAGAACTTTGTGATGATCCTTTCATAATGGAGGAGGAGCCTTCCCAATGCCGAGCCCTGGAAAGTTCCCTTTGGGAATTGCAGGTTTGTTTTGCTTCCCGGGGAGCGAGTTTCATTTTTCTCATGGGCTTTCTCCCGCCCTTGAGTTTAGAAGGTTGAAGCGTGGTTTGATAGAGATATTTAAGATGATAAAGGGATTCAATAGGGTAGATCCAGAGAAGCTATTTCCTCTGGTGGGGGAATCCAAAACAAGGGAGCAGAGTTTTAAAATTAGAACCAGGCCATTTAAGAGTGAAATCAGGAAGGATTTTTTTTTACTCAAAGGGTGGTAGAAATCTGGAATTCTCTCCCCCAAAAGGCCGTGGCCCCTGAATCCTATCCTCACCTTCAAGAATGAGGTTGGTAGATTTCTGGTAGGTCAGGGTATTCAGGGATATGGGGAGAAAGTGGGAAATTGGAATTGAAAGGATTAGTTGAGGTACAGATCAGCCATGATCTAATTAAATGGCGGAACAGACTCAAAGGGCTGAATGGCCTCCTCCTGTTCCTATGTTCCTCCCTGTAATTTTGGGGATGTTTTTCCTAATTGTTTGTCCAGGAGACAATCCAGAGTGTTCCCATTTGAGGAAAAGATTATCCAAGAAAATGAACCGGATTTTAAGCCAGTTTATGTTGGACAAAGAAAAAAAAAAGAAGCAGGTAGTGGAGGTAGGAAAGTTTGCAGAAATTAAGCGAAATGACAAATTGGCGAGGGGGGGGGGGGGGGCGGTGACGGGTGGGGGATGACTGAGAGTGAAAGCCAGCAAACAGATTCATTGCCTTTGAAGCTATGAGCACGATGCTAGGAAATCTCTACAAAAAGGTGGAATACGTCTGAGAATGTTCAGCTGATGGAATCTCTATGGTAGAGCTCAGCAACAGGAATGGATGTAAGACTGCTTACCATGGTTTTGAGGGACTTGGAAACCCTGTTTGTAACTGCTGATATCCATCACAGGAAAAACACACAAGAGCGTATGTATAATGTCTCTCTTTCTCTTCTGTTCAGACACTGCAAAAACATTACCATCCTGACGTTGCCAATGCTGCCAATGCAATAACTAAACCTTTGTCACACCAGGAACAGGACCTTTCATCACTACTGGAGCTCACTGCTTCTGAGGTATTATACACCATTCTTCTGCGCGATAATGAGAAGCTTGTCACAGTGATGCATTGCCATAATTAACAAAGAAAGGCTCTTGTTTTATTCACTGGGAAATACTTCAAGGCACAACAAAGTCATGACGGGATGAGTGGCCTAGACTGATTACTGCAGTGCTGGAATAGAATGAGACGCACTCAGAATCGCTCGCACACTTTTTTGGGTGTTGAACATTAAAAGAGATGCCGATTCGGAGCATGTGTATAAACCGAATTACAGTTCATTCAAAATGTGGGATTTTAATGTCCCGACATTCATAGCTTTGTTTAAACCGCGTGGAATTAAAATAGGCTGTTCCTGCTCAAAATCTTAAACTGCTTCCTCAAAATCTAATTTCTTCGATTGGCATTCTAGCTAAATATATTCCTTGTGACTACATTTATGGTATATTAATAGGATTGGAAGGACTTGTGGAGGAAGGAGAATTTGACAGCTGTGTGATGAATGACCAGTTTATTAGCCAGACTGGAAGAAACTGCTTCCTCTTTTCAAGTAGTAACAACTTATTCTCAGCGTTGTGCTCACCATTACAAAGAAGATATATTTTGGTAATTCCTCTGTTAGTATATATACATATATATTGTATAATGAGCACAGTTTTGCAATTGGATATAAAGCGAAAATATCCCAAATGCTATGAGTAAAATTGCTAATAATTGATGCTATTTGCAGTGTTCTTAATGGTTTTTTTTTTACAGTTATTTCATAAAGAGACAAAAAAGAAAACAAAACGGGGTCCCTTGGAGTACAAGCCGGCCGAAGGGATACTGAGACAGAGAGATGATGTGGTTGCCCAGTACTGGGCTTTAGAATAATAAACGACTGTTGTAAGTTTCTTTAAAAGTAGGAATCCAATGTATTGTGTACATTTTCTACAGTGCCTTTAATAAAATGTTTTACACAAATTATTGCACCAGTCTTTTTAAAAATCCTACAACCGATTGTCCATTTATTATAATAATAATAATAATCTTTGCATTTGATATTGCGCCTTATCACTTCTTCGAGATGTTTCAAAGCGCTTCACAGGATACACTGGAAAGAATAGTGACTGTATTTTGTGGACGAAATGAAATTTACGTGTGGACTGCTCAGGTTGTACTTGGTATTCGGATTCATTGGGTAAGGAAAGTGTTTTATTTCGAGGGGCGGGGGTTAAGAGATGGTCTGATATTACACCTGTTTTGTATACAAGGTTAACAGCATAAGAAGAAAAACTCTAACGATTCCAAAGATGCTTCTTGCCTTTTTGCTCAGACTATATGCAGTGCAGGAAAGCCATTTTGTGCTGTGAAGATTGGTATGTTCCTGCACTTAAATTTGCACAAGAAATGTGTCTCAAGGGAATTTTGGAGCGATCAATTGATGAATAAACCAAGTCGATGTTTTTGCCTTACAAGCTTACCTCCGCTCTTAAATTAGAGTTGCATTCCTCCTTGCTATTTTATTATCTCATTAATTAATAAAAAGAGTTTCGGTTTATTCACCAGGTACATTTTTATTGAGGTTTTTGTGTTTCACAAACTCAAGGGGGCCTCTCGTTAATTACCGGAGATTTGTGCGTGTTTATTAATCGGAATCGGAGTTGCATACCAACTTTGAATCACGAGTCTTTTTCATTGTGAGAGTTCCTAGCTTCTCTCGCCTCTCCTCATGCTTCAAGTCCACAATTCCAGGATAGTCGAGTCGTCCTGCTGCGAAGTGCTTTGAGATATCCTGATGAGGCAATAAGGTAATTTGTCTACACTGTTGGCCAGACCGGAAAAAACTACTTCCTCTGTGCATGTAGTAACTGTTTAACCATAGCCCTGTGCTCACCAAGATGTATTTTGGTAACTCCGCAGATCAGTAGTATATAATGAGCACAGTTTTGCAAACTTCTTGTCCAAAACTCTTGCATGGGTCCAAATCCCTGACTGTCCAGCGCTTTGGGACATCCTCCCGACGTGAAAGGCGCCGGGTACATGTAATTTGTTGCATATAAGTGAAAATATGAAATACTGCAATTTACAGTGTACAGTGCCTATAAAGCTGAAATATCTCGAAGGATATCAGAGTTCCTGGAAAATGTCGAAAATGTATATTTGTAGGTGAATGCAGAAGTTAATTTGTGCACAGCAATGTCTCACAAACAATCCCAAAGCGAATGACTTTTTTTCAGGAGAATCATTGGCACAATGACCAGGAATTATTTTTTACATAATTTCAAATCCTGGGAATTTATACATCCACCTGAACAGGCAAATACCTCAGCCAGTTTAGCAGCTCTTCCAAAGGACAGTGTGTTTTGACAATGCAGTGATTCCCCCAACACTGACAACCTTATAATAATAACAATAATAATCCTTGCATTTGATATAGCGTCTTATCACGTCTTTGAGATGTCCTAAACCTTCCAACCCAGAAGCAAAAGTGTCACCAGTAACCAGGCAATGCTATGCCCACTTATATATTTAGTTGATGAAACATCATACTGTACCTTTTTACTTTATTTGGCCCTGAGTCGGCTTCAAGATGACAACTATGTTGATGAGTTTCCATATGTGACAGATACCCAGCTGACCCAAAAAGAGCTTGTACGAAAAGGGAGCATCACATGCCTTTTATTAAATCTAACGAGCGCTCGAAGTTTGCTGCCATCATCTTTTTTTCTCCTCCCTTTTATCTGCAGTGGACATTCGTAACTTGTGCAAGTTTCCAAATTCCATCAATTACCAATAATGAGCTGAACCTCGAGGATCAGAGAAGTCGAAGTTGAAAATGAAGTCTTTTGTTAAGCTTTTCCAACGGAACTAGCAGCGCATTCATAACTTGAGTTTATCCGCAAAACGTGGGCGGCTTGGAAAGTTGCACAGGCTACGCGTAGCCACAAAAGCAAATAAAAGGGGGTAAAAAATTATGGCAGCAAAGTTCAAGCGCGCATTAGATTTAATAAAAGGCATGTGATCCTTTTTATGTGTGGAGTCCTGTAGCTCAGTGGTTAGAGCACTCACTTTGCAAGCGAGAGACCTGAGTTCAATTCCAGGCAGAGGGCGAAACCTTGGGCAAGTTTTCTTACTCCACACAGAGCCTAATAGTAATCCCTCCAAAACCAAAAACAATAATAAATTGGTCATTTTTAATCTACGACTGTTTGTGGGACATTGCTGTGCGCAATTGGCTGCCGCGTTCGCCCACAAATATACAGGCAATTCACTTTACAGTGAAGCGCTTTGGGACGTCCTCCCGACGTGAAAAGCGCTATATCAAATGCAAGGATTATTATTATTATTATGTCCAGGCCCTTTTTTGGTCAGCGAGACTTTAAGGCCTTTAAAGTTTGTATCCTCAAAATCGTATTTCTGTTATGAGAGATTTACTTCGTGCGGTTTGTGAAATACCACATGTTGAGCGGGCATTTCATGGGTTGGCATTTTATCTAATTTAGTTGTGGTAACTCTCAACCCCCCACCCGACGCCGGGCCAGGTTCCACCACCGTCACGTGGTGCTGCAGGACGTGATAGAATTGCAAGTTGTTGTTAGTATAATTGTAAGAGATGTGGGTTGTTATTGTGGGTTACTTCCATTTTTGTAGAGTGCATTTGCCGTTAATGTGAACATTTTCTTTTCTCCTTCTCCACCTGATAACACGAGGCACCAGTGAAGGCAGTTCTATTGACATTGGGAGTCAATCCTGAACATTACATTTTCACAACTTTAATATCAAAGTCAGTGAGTGGTGGACAGTAATGAAACCGTCCAAAATGTTTCAATTAGGATTTAAATACTTTAAATATTTTCCTAATTATTTTTACGGCATTGGATAACAAACCTTAAAGAGTATGGGAGATGAGTTGTTTTTTTATTTGGTCAGCCGTGTGTGTTAACACATGTAGAAAAACCCATCACCGTGCTTTTGAGAGAACTCAAACCAAACTGGGAATTCCACGCATCCCACCTACACACGGAAATCCCAGAGTTAGATTGTCAGAATGGAATCCTCCCTGGAGGGACGCATCCCACTTACCCAATTCCGTAAAGTATTAGGCGCAGGTTGGCAAGAGCCAAGGCTCGCGTGAGCCCAGAGTGTGCGTTGGGGTAACTGCTGGAGTCTAACCAGCTGCGAGGTTTCCCACTTGTCCAGCTAGGACCACCCTACCCAATAAGGCTTTAGCTTGCAGGGGTAACAGGAGCTGAGTGGGTTGATTCCCCCAGGGACTGGTCTGTCCTGCCAAGTACTGCCAAAGAAACCCCGCTTACCTCCTTCCCAAAGGAGGATCATCACTAGTTGGTCGTTCGGCATCCAACAAGTGTGGGTTCGAGCCCTCACCGGGTGGATGGTAGGTACCAGGAACTCTCTGCAAGCTGCAATCAGGGGTGTGGGGTCTCCAAGGCTCACATGGAATGTTTATTAGCCTTTGGTAGAAGTGAATTTATTTGAGTTTACAACAAAGAGTCAACAATGTGATATTCCTAAAATCATTTGGTTCCTTAATTAAGGAATGAGGTTAAAATGCATTTGAAATAACCATCCAGATGAGTTGGACATTCTCCTCACTGCAGGCACAAGTTGCTGATCAATTTGCCCAGGGGAACAATCAGGGAATTTTGCATTAATTACATTGGAATACATTAACAATAGCAACAAACGCAGGCCGATCAGCCCAACTGGTCTATGCCGGTGTTTATGCTCCAAATGAATCTCCTCCTGCCCTTCCTCAACTAAGCCTTCAAGCATAACCTTCTATTCCTTTCTCCCTCATGTACCTCTCCAGCTTTCCCTTAAATACATCTGTGCTATTTGCCACAACAACTCCTTGTGGTAGCAAGTTCCACATTCCCACTACCCTCTGTGTGAAGAAATTTCTTCTAACTTCCCTATTTGATCTATTTGTGGCTATTTTATATTGATGGACCCTGGTTTTGGTTTCCCCACAAGTGGAAGCATATTCCCTATGTTGACCCTCTCAAAACCTTTCATCATTTTAAAGACCTCTATCAGGTCACCCCTTACTCTCCCCTTTTCAAGAGAAAAGAGTCCAAGTATGTTCAGCCTTTCCTGATAGGTATAACCCCTCAGTTCTGGGATCATCCTTGTGAATCTCCTTTGCACCCTCTCCAGTGCCTCTACATCCCTTCTATAATGTACCTGCAAAGTACTCAATAAAATGCAAAATACTGCAGATGCTGGAAATCTGGAACAAAAACGGAGATCACTGGGAACACTCAGCAGGTCAGGCAGCATCTATGGAGAGAGGACAGTCAGTCAACGTTAGGGTTCCATGACCCTTCATCAGAACTGGGGGATGTTGGGAGAGAGAGGTTTTAAGAACTAACATAGAGGGGAGGTGGGGCAAGAAAGACAAAGGAGAAAATGGGGTGGAGGACAGGGGTCATCCACCCCATTTGGTAGTTACTACCCCACCCCATCCCATTTTCTGATTGAGGGTCACGGACCCCAAAAGTTGACTCTCTTTCTTTAAGCAGCAACACTTAACGCACGCTTTAAAACCACAAGTTTTCTTATTGATCTGCTGGAAGTGTAACCGGCCAATGAGAAAGTGATTAATCTGCTGCCATTGGAGAAAGAAGGTTAATTTGTGAAAGTGCGTTAAAATAGGTGAGTTCTTTTAGCTTTTTTTCACTGCTAACTAATTCTAGGTGCTTTTTATTGATTTTTGGTGACTGGGGACCAGATCAGCCGTAGTATTTCTATGACTAATTGTGGAGGTTTTGCTATTTTTGATGAGCAATCTCTGATTTTCGTACGTAATGGTCACCTCCACGGACAAGTGGTTGTTTAACTATTAACATGATTCACACTAACCACCCAAACCAAATCTCATCTCTTGCATGATTCCCACCTAATCGAAAAACAGCAGAAAAAGCAGCAGGAGTGTTTAAAACACAGTGACACCTCCAAAAAAAAATAAGGTTTCCTTTCTTTATTTCCAAAAAAAAAAACTCGTTTCTTAAATATGGTTGGAGTTTGAGAGCGAGTGGGATGGTCCCTTCGCAGGTAACCATTGAGAATTGATTTGCCAAAAAAAGAAAGAAAACACTTTAATTCAACTGCATGTATATAAAAAAAAGCAAAGATAAAATCACCCCGCACGATTCTGTGACTTGTTTGTACATTAGCCACTCTTTTTTACGTGATGTACAACAAGTCGTTGACTAACCTCTACTGTTTGCAAATTATTCTGGGGCTGTAATTCCAGGCAAAATACCTTCAATATCGCACGTAGCTTGTGAACAGCAGAGTGAGACTAAGAGAAGGTAGTATTATCCCACACACATAAGCTAAGCAACGGTTACTTGGTGGTTTTGACATGTGCTTGGTGAGATGTTTCTCACTTTGTTTCACACACACTCTCTCTCTGCTTATTTGCTTTCTAACTCAACATCCCGACTGACTCCCACTCATTAAACTTTCTAAAGGGCTTTGAAACTTCCTCGCAAAACACAAGGGATCGAAACTCCACGTGAGTGTAAATGCTTGTTGCTGCTCCTCTTTTTTTCTTTCTTTCTCTCTCGATGCCTTTTTGGGGGGGGGGGGGGGGTGCGTTGTTGAGTAAAAGAAGGTTTATTTCACTGAAAAAAAACAAGTTCTGAGTTTCTGGCGATGAAGAATGCGACGAGAAGCGTTTATTGCGTTTTTTTTGCCCCAAAATGATGGGAATTCTGCATTTGGGGGGGGATTTGGAAGAAGCCAGAACTCGTTTCCCAATAAGTTCCATTCTGCGCTTCCACTATCTCTCTTGAACTTTAACTATCTATTAATGACAAGAATCTAAACGGAGACAGGACTATTTTTATGTATGTTTGTGTGCGTGTATGTTGTGTGGGTGTGTAGGGTATATAAATGTAATTTTGTATTATATCCTAATAATATGTGTTTTATATATTTTTTAAATCTGTCTCTATTTCTAAGAAGTTTGGTCACTCAAACTGCGACTGTTTGTGGGACGCTGCTGTGCGCAATTAACTGCCACGTTTCGCCCACAAAAAATATGCAGTCAATATGTTCTCGGATGCGCTTTCAAATGTCTCGAAGACGTGAAAAGGCACTGAATCAAGTGCGAGGATTAATATTGTTATTATTCTAAAAAAATTTTTTTTTACAGTGCATTCGTATACTCTTATTCCTGCTTGTCTAGTGGCCAGTGGTGACCATTTCGAGTTGACTTGCGGACAACTTCACCAGGTAACTCTGTACCCAGGACACTAATCTGGGTGCATGGTTTTACTTTCTTGCTCTCATTTCTGTGTTGCTGACATTTTTCTTCGCTTTGATTGATTTGGTGTTGGTGGTGGAGAAGGCGACAGTAACTGAACTGTCTGAATGTGTGTGGGTGAGAGTGCTGTCCTGTGGTTGTGTGTGTGTCCTGTGTGTGTATGTGTGCGTGTTTGTATGAGGGCCCTGTGTGTGTGTGTGTGTGTGTGCGCGCGAGGGTGTGGTTGTGTGTGTGTGTGCATGAGGGCACTGTGTGTGTGCGTGTGTGTGTGCGTGTGTGTGTGTGAGGGTGCGGTCACGTGTGTGTGTGTGTGTATGAGAGCGGCGTGTGTGTGCGTTAGTGTGCGGACCTGCGTGTGTGTGTGTGCGTGTGTGTGTGTGCGCGCAAGTGTGCGCTCATGACATACCAGCCACCTTGAAGTTGTTGAGATCTGAGTCAAAATTCACTGATATGATTTGGACATAATTACTTTAAAGGAGTCCGAGATCTCTCTCTTGGCTAATGACTTAAATGTAAAACAACAAGAACAGAACAAGGCCATTCGGGGTATCGAGTTTCTAAAACCCAGATATTCTATTCGTCCATCTTTTCTCTGTTTTCTCAATATTAAGTACAGCCTTTTTTACGTGATTCAGATCAACGGCTTTCTGGGGCTTTCTGTTCCATAGTCTTTCAACTCTTTCTGTAAGTCGTTCTCTGGTTGCCACTATCACTTGTGTAACTCTCACTGAGTTCCTGAACTGGAGCAAAGAGTTGTTCCTTAATAACTTCGGAACAAAGGAGGAGGAGAGCGTAGGCACGATCGAATAGGAAGGTCTTCAGCTCAATCAGACTCCCCCCACCCCCCCACCCCCGCCCTTCATCTGTACAATTTGCTTATTAACATTGTTTTTTTTCATGAAGGTACTCTATATAGGTTCCGAGAATGTTAACTACTCCAGCCTCCTACGAAAATTATTCAGACTATCTGTTGGAGATGGACGATGATTCGATTGCTGTCCTGCCGCTCGTGATTTACTCTGTGACCTTTTTGGTCGGAATCTCTGGAAACGCTCTGGTCATCTGGATCGCAACGCAGGAAGTAAGAAAGACAATCACCATGATATGGCTTTTGAATCTGTCAGTGGCTGACTTCATGTTCACCGCCCTCTTGCCTTTTTCCATTGTGTATCAAGTAGAAAAGTTCCATTGGCCGTTTGGAAGTTTTATGTGCAAATTCATTAGTTTCGGCGTCCATCTGAACATGTTCACAAGTGTGTTCATACTGACCGTAACCAGCATTGATAGATGCCTTTCTGTTGTATTTCCAGTTTGGTGTCAGAATAATCGAAGTGTAAATTCGGCAATTATCGTGTCATTAGTTGTGTGGGTACTGGCTGCTGTAGTAAGCGTTCCTTTCTACCTTATCCGTGACACAGAAGAGGACCTGATAATGGGGACGACGTATTGCCTTTACAAACAGGATCTGCTTAACCTCCGTAGCTTAATACTGGCAAGATTTACGTTGGGTTTCGCTCTTCCTTTTATTACAATTGCCATTTGCTACACTGTCATCACCTTAAAGATCAAACGTAGGTGGAGAAGGGTGTCAACCAAACAGTGCAAAATAATCACTATGATCATCTTAGCTTTTCTATTTTGTTGGATACCATTTCATATTTTGAGTATAATCCACATGTTATCAGACGTTGACATTAAAACCTGGCTGCCGCTGGCTACCAGCTTTGCATATGTTTATAGCTGCATCAATCCGATTCTCTACCTTTTCGCTGGTAATGGATTTGTGCTTCAATTCAAGAAAAGAATCCAAGCAGCACTGAGGGCAATACACGATGAAATGAGCCACAGTAGTTCCAGGTCTGAGTCCAGGGGGGGTCAAGGGATCTGAAAAAGGTTTTGAATGAAATTAGCCAAACTTTTGTATCTGCTTTTTACAAACTGATTTGAGTTTAGATGAACAAATTATTTACTCCACACGCCTGTTTGCCGAGTAGTAATTAGGAAGCCGGTTGTTAGTTGACTGGCGGATTGCTTTTCTAGGGGTAATAATCGCAATATAAAAAAAAATGGGTCACTCAATCCATGGCTGTGTGTGGGACACTGCTGCGTGCGATTAGCTGCCGCGTTTCGCCCACAAAATATATAATCACTTCACTTTACGGTATATTCTGTGAGGCGCTTTTGAGATGCCTCGAAGGTGTGATAAGATGCTATAACTCATTTTTTTCTTGTCACGAAGTATGTACGTTATTCGTATGGTGAGAACAAAAAATGCAGTTGAGTATATTGTCATTTTAATTCAATGCTGACGTAAACATGTTTAGGAAATTAAATATGTTGAAATGTACTTTTGATTCATGTCTGTCTTCATTCTCTACAAAGGTAAAGTGGCATTTTCAATAGAATATGGCAGCTGGTAATCACTTTATAACGAAGCTATACAATCTGTAGACTACCTTTTGAAGTTTATGTTCGTGGTAACCAATACGAACGTCAAAGATCTGCCTCGATATCCGGAGGAATGTTTCTAAAACTTTGTTTTTGCAAATGCTGATGAACCTCATGTCGTTGCGATCTGCGTTCACACATGCACAGAACATCACCGTGTCGGTCTTCTTGCTTTGTTGATGAACTGCTCTGTTATAAAGTTTGATTGCCTTGCTGTGGAACTGCTAAGGTGCCTGCTGCTATAAAACATAGCTCGTCTGAACTTGAAAGAGTTGGGAGCAAATACCTGGTAACCTTTGAACATCGAGATCATTCTAAGTGAGAAAAAGTATAACCACAATTGGAACTTTGAAGTTGAGTGGTATGCAACAGTCTTCTCACCGCTTCGGTTTGCAGTCGAAGCAATTAACTTGTATGGGGTGGGCGGGGGGGGGTGGGTTCACAGCGAATTTGCCAGAGGGTAGACCGGTATGGGACAATTAGCGTGATTAATTAATTTAATTAATTAAGGATTAGTTAATCCTTCACAAAAAACCCCAGAACATTTTCGAACGATAGGCGTGATCGGTAAGACCAAATTATCATCTGTTTTAATCTATTAAACCAAGTGGATGGGGGGTGGAGGGGGGTGGGGGTGGGGGTGGGTGGTGCTTGGGCTGGTGGAGGAGACGGGGTTGGGGGAGCAGGGGGCAGGGCCAAGTGGGTGAGTGACGACACGGAGGCGGGATCTCGGTGGGGTCCCGGGAGGGGGTTCTGAGCTCAGTGCTGGAGAGAAGGGCTGAAATGGGGCTGGAAATGTATCTGGATCTGAACTCGCAGCCCTGTCGCTCTGTGTTTCTCTTCGCCAAAAAGAACAAGATCCCTTTCGAGTTCAAACACGTCTCCCTGTTCACAGGTGAGGAAGCCTTCTGCATTGCATGTCTCACCCCCCCCCCACCCACCTTTTACTACTTAAAGAGATCGTGTGGCTTTCTGAACAGGAATTAAGTCAGTCAATGTGTGTGTGTGTGTGTGTGTGTGTGTTTTTTTTTGTTGGCCAAATGGAGCGTTTCCTTCCTGAGTTTGTAAAGCCGAATGGGTTTTGTTTTCACATGTAATCACGGGCCACATTGTGCGCAACCCATCGCAAGAGAAGGCAAACACAAGCAAACAAAGGAACGCACAGTCACTACACTTTGCGGCGCATCCTTGTGAGGCGCTTGGAGACGTCCCGACGACGTGATAAGGCGCTGTATCAAATGCCAGGATTATTGTTATTATTATGATGACTACTCTGTCGGTCGGCACAACCATGTTGCATATCCAAACCAGATAAGCTATCCTTGTCGTGGAATTTCCTGTCTCTGGAATGGAATGCACTCTCCCCCTCTCCCTTCGCTCTCTCTCTCCCCCTCCCTCTCTCTCTCTCCCCCTCCCTGCCTCTCGAGAGGGATGCACTCTGCTTGGGTAATTCCAGAGATTTGCCTGGTTACGAAGAGTGAGCGAGTGTGGTGATCCGCGCCTGCATTTCAGAGTGATAGCGTATCTGTCTGCGTATCGTGCTTTCGTTTCACAACCCTTGACTTTTGTACCTGTTTGTTTGCTTGTTCTGCTTTGCACGTTGGGCAATAGGTCAACAGCACAGCGAGGAGTATGCAAAGATTAATCCAAAGAGACAAGTGCCAGCAATAAAGGATGGCGACTTCACCTTGTCCGAAAGGTAAACAACACGCAAACTAGACTCGCTCTTTGTTCATCGATAAGTCCAAAAGAAAGAGAAGCTCCTCCTTGCTTTACAAAGAACAAGAGTGCAGACCTGTTAGGGTTCAACAGCTTGATTTTGACGTGAACTGTACCGAAAACATTGTTGTGGAGTCCTGTAGCTCAGTGGTTAGAGCACTCGCTTTGCAAGCGAGAGACCTGGGTTCGATTCCCGACCGGGCGAAACCCTGGGCAAGTTTCCTTACTCCACGCGCCTAATAATAATCCCTCAAAAAAAAAATTGGTCACTTTATCCACGACTGTTTGTGGGGACTCTGCTGTGCGCAATTGGCTGCCGCGTTTCGCCCACAATCACACAGTCAGTTCGCTTTACAGTATATTCTGTGAAGCGCTTCGAGACGTCTACGAAGACTTGAAAAGCGCTGCATCAAATGCAAGGATTATTATTAACGATATTATTATTGCATCAGGTTGCTGCAGTGTAACAGCAGCTCGGTCGAGGAATTCCATCACCTGTTGCTATCAGACAGCCCGACCTGATCGGGGTTTGGAAATTTATTTTATCTGCTGATTGTGAAGCGATTGAGAAGTTTCAGCGTTACAGTGTTTGCATAACCATCTGGTTACTGATGGTGGTCAGACCAGAATCTTAATATCCTGTCAGCCTGGCACAGTGGTGGCATTCTCGCCTCTGAGTCGGAAGTTTGTGGTTTCAAGCCCCAACTTCAGCTGCTACCCATATCAAGCTACGCAGTTACTCACGGAGCACGCACGGAACCCGGGCACTTTATCTGATTCATCTCTTCCTCCTTCATCTACTTTGTCCTTCCCCTCTGAAGGAATTTTCCTAATTCCCTGCACTTCACCCTTCCTCTCTCTTTCCCCCTCTCTCTCTCTCTCTCTCTCTCTCTCGCTTCACTGGAGGACACTTCCTATCTGTCCCCAGGGAGCTTTCTCTCAGTCTTTGCAAAGTGCCACGTAATTGCTGTTGGGAGTCTGATTCAATAATGGGGGGGGGGGGGGGGGTGGGGGGGGAAGGTATTTGGTCTTGTGTTGCTGCTGGGAACAAGTTATTATTATAAATCAATTTATAATATATATTTAAATCAATTATACTTCGATTTAAAGTAGTTCCCTTGCAGTGTGGCCATTCTGAAGTATCTGGCTCGAAAATACCAAACCCCGGATCACTGGTACCCGAATGACCTCCAGAAACGTGCTCGTGTCGATGAGTACCTGGCTTGGCAGCACTCCACTGTACGCCCCCACGGTTCTAAAGTCTTCATGTTTAAGGTTAGACGATTTCCTCTTCATATTTGCAAAGCTTATCTTCAGATGTAGGTTGAGCACATCGTAACAACTAACCCCCAAACCGGTGTTGCACATTGGTAAGTAGAGAAGAGTTTGCAGTCAACAAAACTGAGCAAGGCTGTTGACTACCAACCGGGTTCCTAATTATTCCTGGGCAAACGGAGGCATGTGGAGTAAGAAAACCTGCCTAAGGTTTCGCCCCACTCGGGAATCAAACTCGGGTCCTCTCGCTTGCGAGGCGAAAGCTCTAACCACTATACTATGGTGGTGGTGTTGGGGAGGTGGGGGGGAATATAAGACCTGTGAGCGCACATATCAGTTTCAAAGGCCACAGATATCTTTTGCCAAATAGAACAATTGATGGAGAAGATAAAGAAGACATCTTAGATTCCCCACATTCATATATTCATTTCCCAGTGTGACTAATCCAAGCTAACAGGGAAATCTAGCATCTGGACATCAGTCGTTGTCTTGTTGCGCCATTCTGATTTGCTCCCAGCGCAGCACCGTGCATGCTGTCTGTGTTCTTTCTCTGCAGTTATTGCTCCCGGCATTAACAGGGGAACCAATTCCTGAAGTTAAAGTGCAAGCGGCTCTGGAAGACTTACGTGGAAGCCTGAAGACCTTCGAAGAGATTTACCTTCAGGATAAACCCTACATTGCCGGAGATGCTCTTACCATCGCTGACCTGGTTGCAATCGTGGAGCTCATGCAGGTCAGTCACTCTATGTCTTGGTTCCATTTTAGACAGTAAAACTCTTTATTTATTAGTAAAAGTCACTGCTTAACTTTTACTGTTAGATTAGGCGTATAAACTTGATTATCCAATCTATCAAGGTGCATTTGGAACTCCATGATGTTCAGTTGATAAAGGTAATCCATAAACATCAATGTCTGTATTATGTGACTATTATAATAATAATAATCCTTACATTTGATACAGCGCCGTATCACGTCTTCGAGACGTCTCAAAGCGCTTCACAGAATATACTGTAAAGTGAATTGACTGTATATTATGTGTGAGTGAAGGCTATCCATGTTTTGAATAAACTTTTGAGTAAAGTTTGTGAACCACAGCAATTTAAAAAAAGTGCTAGGCTTTTATATAGTGAGGATAAATGTTATATCAGCGATAGGAAACTAATCCCAGATTGTCACAGACAGAATCATAGAGCGTCACAGCACAGAAGGAGGCCATTCGGCCCATTGTGCCTATGCCGGCTCTTCGGAAGAGTTATCCCATTAGTCCCACTCCCCGACTCTTTCCCCCATCTTGTCGTGCTGGATGTTTGAAGTGAATTGGGAAGCATTTTTTGCTGTTCGTAGGAGGGTTGCACTGTGGCGCTTTGTTAAGACTATATACGCTTTTCCCCAGCCTGCTCTCAGTGGATTTGACCCGTTCGAAGGTTCAGTAAGACTCGCTGCTTGGCGTGATCGCGTGAAGAACGAAATTGGTGTCGAACTATTCAACGAAGCTCATGCACCCCTTCTGCAAGTCAAAGAAATGGCTATCTCCATGCCGAAGAACCCTGCAACAGAAGCCATTAAACAAAACCTGCTGAAAAGATACAATTAAGATGGTGCCGTTAGAATTCAAAACTTTATTTTTCTGCAACGGTTTGTACAAACCTTCTTAAATGCTCCGTGCCTTCAATACAACGTGTGCTGGGTATTTCTTTGCCTCTGTCCTGTATGCACCCCCCCCCCCGCCCTTTCTCTGTCTCTCTCACACTCGCTCGCTCCCTCCCTCCCTCAAGCACAGTATAATTTCACTCTTTGCATGGAGCTTCCCTGCCATCCTGTGGCCAACCTGTGGTAATGTGACCGGATAAAACGTACATCTGCATCGGTCCCTCTGGTGGAAATGGGTATTTTTGTCAATATAAAACGTGATCATGAGAATAATCCTTGCATTTGATCGTCCAACTGAACAGCCGGTTTCACGTGAGGTCCCGTAGCCAGATGAGGACCTGGGTTCGATTCCCGGGCACAGGGCGAAATGTTAGGCGAGTTTCCTTCCTCCGCCTGCCTCTGTTTACCGAGCAGTGAGTAGGAGCACGGTTGTTGGTCGAAATGGTGCATCACTTTTACAGGGCTAATAATCCCATCAACAAATAGACATCTTTCTGATGTGATAAAGTGTTATGCTAAATGCAAGGTTTATTAATATTATTAGAGGGGCCGAGACTAACAGAGAGAGAGGGAGTAAAGAGAGAGACAGAAACTGGGGGCGAAAGCGAGCCTGATAGAGAGAGAGTGAGAAATAAAACTAAACAGATTGATGCTGCTTGTACTAATGCCTAATAATAACGTACTAACGGCTTTTGGCTATTTTTACCCATTCACACTACACCCCCCCCCGCCCCCCACCCCTCGGTCCCACAGTTCAGGGGCAAAGCTCTGATTGCCCAATGCCTTGGGACGTACTCCTCATTTGAAAGACGCCGTACAAATGTCAGTTTGTATTGTGCTTGTGTTACCCTCTGAACAAAGAAAAATGTTTTGCTATCTGCCCTTAATTAAACTCTACAACACTAAATCTAGAATCTCTTGTTTTATTGTCTTGGCGGATCCTGAATTATTGATCTACGTTTACTCTCTCAATTGCAAAAATGTCTTGTCTCATCTCCCTAAGTACCTTGGGCTATAGTTTATCTTGGATTTCGCAGCAGTTTGGCAGGGAGAGTGCTTCGAGATGTTTCAACAGCGTGATAAAATGTCCTATCAAATGCACCGATTATCATTATTCTAAATATACCCTCTCCCACACCGTTCAATTAAATCCGCCTGTAACTCACTCCTCGCACTTGTTATTTCAATGTTATTCTGCATCACTATATCCTCGATTAGATCAACCTGTGCCTCAACTTCCATTATTCTGGGTATGCCTTTACCCCAACCTATGGGATAGGTTCCACACTCACTCCTTTCACCGCACTGGAACAGTTTTAAAGTGAAATGCTCATCTGGTGACCTTGTCCGGTTATTCTCCAGAGTTGCCGTTGCCTGTTTGTAGTTCGCTTGTTAACTAGAGTGTTCGGGCCGGTTTCTACTGCTGACGTGTTCCTGCCTTTGCGATGACTAAACATTTACCTGACCCTGAGAGAGAATTGTGGCAGGACACCTGTACAAGGGGACAACCCAATGCGGGTTACAGGTAACCCCAGGTACCGTGGACACATTCTGGGTGCCTCTGGGGTGCAGTGTGTCCTGAACCGCCCCACCTGATCCACTAAACGACCTAATTCTAGGTATTTTGCCCGCTTCGGTTACTGCAGACACTGAGGTGAGCACCTGATACCGATGAGCCCTGGTCTGACCCGGCTCCCCCCGCAGCGGTGGTCTGGTCGGGGCTGGTTATAAGGTAACCCTCGCTCGTGCTCGCGAGTATGTTGGGGTGGTGAAGAGATGGCTTTGGTGCTGTGGTGCCTGGCGCTGATCCACTGCGGGATCGCAGGACAGAATGCGACTGAGGAGCAAACCCAGATAGCTCGCGGAAAACTAATCGTGAGTATATTGTGAAGTGAATTGGTCGGATATTTGTGGGCGAAACGCAGCAGCCGATTGCACACCACAGTGTCTCACAAACAGCCGTGGATTGTATCTGTCTCACAAGTGTGAGTGTGAGACAGGTACAGTTAGAGACGATGATCTGGGATGAGATTACTGAGCACTTGGGCCAAACATAAATTAGCACAGATTTGTATAAGACAGATTGTGTTGAAGCAGCCTTCTGGAATTCTTTAAAATTCTTTCAACCGGGTTAAACCGAGGTCTGTCTATGTAAAAAAAAATTACTGCTGCTTGTCCAGCAGAACGACAATTATTATTATGCGTAACTGAAATAAGATTGACTCGCCTCTGGGTTCCTGCGCTATTTATACTTTGTTTTAATCGATCCCCCAGTGCCTTCGCCGCTTTCTCCCTTTCCTCCTTCAAGGCCGGTCTCAAGACCTTTCTCTTTGACCGAGCCTTCAGCTCCCCTCTCGACTCTCTACCCCCTCCTCGCTCCCTCCCTTCCCTGCCCTCACCCTGACCATTTGCCCCCTGCTCGGGTCCCGACCCAACTGTACAGCGCCTTGGGACGTCCTCCCTTGTTGTTGTTGTTGTTGTTTGAACAGGGTGTGGCAGTTGCTCCAGCCTCCACTCTTCTGACTTTTCCACATCTCTCTGATTTCTCCCCTTGGCTATAAACCATGGGAGTCTCTGTCTCAGGCTCTGAAGGTCTCGCTCATGCTGTTTTTCAGGCTCCAAGTTTGGTCGGATGACCGATCAAGAAGCAGCCGGAGCTGTACCAATTCCTAATGGAACGCCTGGCGCTATAGTATCCTCCCTGTGACTGAGCAGCTGGGACACACAGCCCGTGACGGGGGGGGCGGAGGTGGGTGACACAGTGTATGGTTGGTGCCCGATATGGGGTGGCATAAAGAATGAGGGCACGGGGTGTGGGGATCAGAAGGTGTGGGGGTGAGGGGACACAGTGTACGCCACTCTGTAAGGAAACCCAATCTGGGGACTCCAACCCCACGTGAAGGACGCTATATAAATGCAAGTTGTTGTTGTTGTTGTTGATTGCTGTGCGCTTAAACTCCGTGAGGAAGCTGAGGACCGCCCGAAATGTCCAATACATGTGACCACTTTCGAGCGCACACTGGGCCCTGTGTGCGGGGGCTGTTTAGAGCCAACCCCGATCCTCACACCAAACACAACCCCAAAAATTAACTCCCAAATCCTAAAGGCACTAATAACATCTGAACTCGAAAAATAACCTAAATGTTATCCCAACCCCTAATATGGCCCTAATATCAGTACCAAACCCTAAACACAACATTAATATCAGCACAAACCCTAAACACTGTACTAACATCAAGTCCTTGTCTGCTCAGAGCCAACCTTCCCCTCGGCTGTGAGCAGTTACCCCTCTCCCTGGGCTATCTATCTATTTGCTTAACTTCACCTTCAGCCACAACATGGAGTATGAGTCCCGGGAAGACGAGGAGCCACGGTTTGTTTTCTACAATGTGGAGCAGGAGGTGGTGAAGGTCAGTGTCCAGTCACATCAACAGCACAACTGCCACCACACGTCCTGAGCAGCTCAGCCACCAGCTCCAGCAAGCAATCAGGCCACTGGCAATGTGTGTGTGTACATGTGTGTGTGTGTGTGTGTGTGTGTACGTGTAAATATGTGTGTGTGTGTGTGTAAGTACGAATATGTGTGTGTAAATATGTGTGTGTGTCAATGTTTGTGTAAATACGAATGCGTGTGTGTAAATATGTGCGTAAATGAGTGTAAATGTGTGTGTGTGTGTGTGTATAACTATGTTTTTAAATACACGTGTGTGTGTGTGTGTAAATGGGTATGGGGTTAAATACAGTTTACATTTATACAATGCCTTTTGTGTTGAGAGGAAATCTCAAAGGCTTCCCAGTGTTGTTGTTGGCCGAGGACCTGAGCTGGAGGACAAAAGCCAAAGGGGGCAGCGAGGGGATAGGTAATCGCGGTAAATGTGTGCGTCGGTGAGTCTATGTGTGTCTTTGTCTGTGTGTGTGCGTGTGTGTGTATTTATGTGACTATGCGCGCGTGTGTGTGTGTCGAACTCATCCACCCCCATCTGTTGTTTAAGAGGCACCTCCTTCCCCGTCCCTTATTTCGCCCACAAATACACAGTCGCTACACTTTACGGTAGAGCCCGCGGAGCGCTTTGAGACGTCTCGAAGACCCGATAAGGCGCGGTATCAAATGCGAGGATTATTATTATTATGATTATTATGATTATTAAGCAGTGATTTGCTGTGTGGTGTGTGTGTGTGTGTAAGAAACAAGTCCACCTTCCTCTCACAGGAAGAGCTGGTGCAGGGAATGAAGTTGGAAGAGATGTCTGCTCTGCTCGAGTCGCTGGGATTCTACAGGAAATCAGCCAAGGGCGAGGAGGTTCCTGAAGAATTCCGGCATTTCCCACTCCGAGCTGCTCGGGATGAGCTGTAGCCACGGTCACCTACGGACAGAGAATGGCTGGCAGGAAAGCGAGGATGATGTTAGTGTCTGAAAGGCGGTGACTCCCTGGCATTGGCGGAGAAGTTGCTTCCTGCAGCTGAGGTTCTCGTAATAAATTGACTACTGCTAACATCTGTGTGCGCTGATCTTAGTTTTCTTTGGCTCTTGGTAAGTCCAAGGACACCATCACCAAACCCCCCCCGCCCCCCCACAAAACACACACACACACACGATCCTGTTTGCCTGTTCTTTTCGGGGCCCTGCCACATTCCCGCTGAGAACGGGTTTAAATGCTTTGCAGATGATTCCGACCAGCCAGGGAACGTTCAGTGTCGATTACGGTAAAATGGGAAGCACATGTGGGGAGATGATCGCTGGGACTCTTTCGTGGGGGCCAGGCACCCTTCGCTGACTTGCGTCCGTCCCTCCCTGTTTTACCTTCCCGAAACTTCTCCTGGGTGTCGAACGCCTCCACCGGGTTTCCTCTCAGCCCTCTCCGACGCTCAATGAAGATAGCTCTTTAGTGTCGAGACCCGAAGCTCTCATCCCACCCCCCCCACCCCCACCCCCGTCACTCACCCCTACTCACCCCCCAAATAACCCGCGTTCGACAATGCAGTGCTGTGCGTTATTATCACCACTCTCCACCCCCTCCTGATCCCGACCGCCAGCAGATCTCTGACGGTCCAGCGCCCTGGGACGTGCTCCCGACGCGAAAGGCGCTATACCGATGTAATCTTGTTGTTGTTCTTGTCGTTGAACTCGAGAGATTCATTCTTCGGGCCCTTCATCATCATCATCATCATCATCATCAACATCCCGGTGCAGTAATCAGCTGAGATCCAGAGTCGAGCCACCAGAGCAATTCTCCCAACACACCACAGGATGACACTCTTCCCCCAGCTTTAACTCATCCTTTTCTCACCAGCGCACACTCTCTCTCGCTCGCTCGCTCGCTCGCTCTCTCTCGTGGCTGCCACTCAGAAGCCAGACACATTCATCAAGCGGAGAGAGAGTGGCTGCAGTATCCACAGACACTGGGTTAAAATCAGGCTGTTGAGGAAAGACAGTTTGCTGTTTACATAGAGTTAGCCTGTTAACACATGTACCCCCCAGTGACTCCTCAAGCCTTACACCAGCAGAGTTGACGGCTATTTTTTTTCTTAACCGGGTCATTTGTCTAAATTATGTCACAGGCAATGAGGGAAGTGCTTAAGAAGCTCAAATGAAGGGTTTAGCTTTAACTGTGACACTTGTCTATCTCATTCTTCCTCAAAATAACTGCCCACTCCCACCCCACCCTCCCCCCCCCCCCCCACTCGGACCGCTGAGAAACTCTGTATCCACCTTTAACCCCTTCAGGGGCTCAGCGTGTGAAACTCACGCACACTCACTCCCCTCACTCGCGCTCGCTCACACTCAGACTCCCTTACGCGAGATAAGGCGCTACATCAAATGCAAGGATTAATTAAATAATTCAATAAATAAATAGGCCAAAGGGAACTTCTTCAACCAAACCCCGTCTTGTGGTCTTGCCTGTGGCTGCCCCCAGCAGGCACTGGAGCTGAGTTGCGATCGCAGGCAAAGGCAGAGTTGTCAGTCACTACTGCAGCTTCCCGATCCGCTCAGTTACAGACGTCAGTTTCAGTGCCGTTATTGAGGGCCTAACACGAGTTGGTAAAGTGAATCGGCGAAGAAAGGCAGGAGCTGCATTGGGAGCTGCCGTGTTTCAGATGAGGCCTCCGCCCTGAGGTCTTGTGTGCCTGTTTATCAGGTGGACGTCACAGACCGTTTGAACACCGAAGATTGGACTCGTCACTGTTCAGGAGGTGGACTACAGGGAGGGTAAGGGGTAGGAGGGGTGGCCGATCGCGTGATCGTAGAGGAGGGTCTCGAGATGTGGTTCAGGCTACAATGCTGCGGTCGTGATGTTACTCCAAGTACAATTGTCTACGTGGCAGAAATTGGACGTGAAGACAAGACACCCGGAAGGTGTAAGAGTCGGTCCGATCTCTCTAGTCGCTCCTCTCTCACTTGGGGTCCAATCTCTTAAGTTCCTCCTCTCTGGTTCGGCGAGGTACTCAGTGGAAGGGCACGAACCGACTGGAAAGAGTCTTTGGTGTGATGTATGTAACCGCCCCGTCACTCTTGATCATTCACTCACGGTGACAAGAGTAGTCCAGGAAAACCACATTATTTGTACTATTACGAAAATGTTAATAATTTTTAAATTGTTCCTAATCTGACAAGGAAATTGGATTTATAGTAATTGTGTTTGACTTTTTCTGAGGGCGATGACAAGGTATAAAGCCTGTGTAATTATTCAATGTACATTTGAATGGCCCTGGGTGATTATCGAATCACTACACCAAAACCCTCCGAAACCTTAAAAGGGAAACACAATCTACGGGATAGCGATCAGTAAGAAAAGAAACAAGTTTTGAGCAAGTTTGACTTTTTAAAAAAAAAAAGGGCTGTTGCTTTGTTTGTTGACACTCGAACCGCGACTGTTTGCGGGGACGCTGCTGTGCGCAATTGGCCGCCATGTTTCGCCCCCACTATATATATATATATATATACAGGGAATTCACCTTACAGCATATTCTGCGAAGCGCTTTGGGACAGCTCGAAGACGTGATGAGGCGCTGTATCAAAGGCAAGGATTGTTATTGTTATTATTGTATATTAACGCCAAATTATTGCTGTCAGTTGAAGTCAATTGACATCTCGCTGTGACCAAAACGTGCAAATTGTCAGCACCTGAGACAAAGAATGAGCTCAGCGGCTAATGCACAAGTCCTTACTTGTCCTGAGCAAAGTTGGAACAAATTAAAGATCTGGCCCTAATTTAACTCAGTCAATCACAGGCTCCACAATTGTTGCTCAGGCCTCAGCAAACGGGTCCTAGAGCTCCAGCAAAAGCGAGGCTCCTTTTACACAGCAACACAACAAGAGGTGACCCACCCCACGGACATCTCTGAGACGATGGGGCTTTTCAACCAGGTTAGTAGAAATAAGTTATTTTCCCCGGTCACCAGAGAGCACAAATTTAAGGTAATTACAAAAAAAATCAAAGGGGAATGTTATAAAATGTCTCTACAAATACAATAGTTACATTGGTGGAATCCGGCAGGTATTGTTGTTGGGCAAAGAATTTGATTTAAGGAGAATTAGATAGATTCTTGAATAAAAAGCAAATATTAAGCGCTATGAGGAGCGAGCAGATGAAAGACCAGTGCAGAAAATGGTGGACCAAGTCGGCTGTGTTGGTGCTGTAAACTTTCTATGATTCCATGAATGGGAATTGGTTTGGACAGTTGGGCTTCCGCACAATGTGTGTGAAAAAGATTCTGTTACAATCCAAATGAATGGTGCAGGGCATTGCACTGCTGTACAATGGGAAGTGAACGGGAAGAGTTTGGGGTCCATTGGGATTCCATACAATAGGAATAGATGGATCTGCTGGATCTGTGGGAGTGTTCGCTGATGAATACATTGAGGGTTTATCAGTAAGATGCCAGAGAGCAGCGACTGTGGGAAGAACGGTGTTACGGGAGGATGCAGCACGTTGAGAGAGAGAGAGAGAGAGAGAGACAGCTTACGTGGCTGTGTTTGGTTGTTGCTCTCCTCGAGCGGCAGAATGGTGTATCGAAAGTTTATCCCGTATTTATTTCCAGAAATTGTAAAATGACAGCTATCGCTACATGTCAGTTTGAGGCGGCGGATGAGCTAAATTGTCACTTAGAGACATTGTGTGCGAAATTCATTTCAGGACGCCAGAGGTGATTTCCACACACAGTGTCTGTGTGTGACAATCACATTTATTACCTCGTCAAACTGCCATTTACTCTGTCTGCAAATCAGTCGCTCCGCACTGCAAATCGACTTCTTTAACATACCGCACAATCGCGTTCTTGCCAGACGCTCGGCGCGGGGGAGCAGGGCCCGGGGGAGCAGGGCCCGGGGGAGTAGGGCCCGAGGGAGCAGGGCGCGGGGGAGCACGATGGCAGGGCCAGATTAGGGCATTGGCGGGCCCTAAGACAGATGGCGCTCTCTCGCGTGACTTTTGTAGCTGCGAACACGTCGAACTCCACAATCGAAACTCAGCGTGTACGTGTCAAATCGCGCTCAACGGACACGGTTGCTGGTGCGTTGGTTAATCCGACCCTTTACCCAAACCCATCTTGTGATCTTTAATTACCTCCACACCCTCGCACCAACCAACCACCCACTCACCCATTGGTGGGCGATTTCATCTCCTTTACCCCGACTCCTTGGAACTCGCTTCCAAAATCTCTCTCCTCCGTTGTCTGCACTTCACTCTGCGTTACTAAAATTCTGCCTATTTTACTGAGCCTTCAGTCATCTCTTCCCGCTCCTCATCTGCCGCCAAGCTCAGGTCCCAACTCCATTTGTGTAAAGTACTTAAGAGATGCTATCCTATGCGAGAGGTGAAATCGACATTGGCGTAGGCTCTGGGATTAGTCCAGGCTCACAGATTGTGCGTCTGTGAACGAGTGACAAAGCTGACAGAACGCAGAGTCTCAGCGTCGTTGGGGATGGCTTGTCCTCTTCTCAGCGTGTATAACACAGCCCCGAGTCTCCTGACAGAATGTTCCAGAGGTCAGCGCCGAAGCTCGGTCTGTTAAATGAGTTTGGCCTCAATCAATTATCACTTGATCGCACATAAATAGAATACATTATCCGGAATTAAATGTCAAAGATCACAGGCATGAATAAGGCACCTGATGAGGACTCGTGTGTCCCCTGGGTGCACCTCCAGGCCCCGGCCCACAGCCAAAACCCTTTTCGAACTATTCGGGACATGCTCTGTGGGTGGACCACGCTGGCTTCCTTTGCTTCAGCCCTTCACTATCAATGCCAGGTACACTCACATCCGGTGTTGTGTCACATCAGAAGGATGACTGAGCATTATCAGGGACTGATATTAATTGGTATGGCTCTCGGCTCCGAATCAGACGTTTCAAGCCCTATGTTGGGTCTTCGAGATTTCCCTATCTCTCCAACC